ATGTGACACACGTGTGAGAATTTCTGCTGATGTGACACATGTGTGAGAGTTGCTGCTGATGTGACACACGTGTGAGAGTTGCTGCTGATGTGATACTTGTGTGAGTTGTTGCTGATGTGATACTTGTGAGAGTTGCTGGTGATGTGACACACATGTGTGAGAGTTGCTGCTTATGTGACACACGTGTGAGAGTTGCTGCTGATGTGACACACATGTGTGGGAGTTGCTGCTGTTGTGACACGTGTGAGAGTTGCTGGTGATGTGACACATGTGTGAGAGTTGCTGGTGATGTGACACGTGTGTGAGTTGCTGGTGATGTGACACGGTGAGAGTTGCTGCTGATGTGACACACGTGTGAGAGTTGCTGCTGGTGTGACACACGTGTGAGAGTTGCTGCTGATGTGACCCATGTGTGAAAGTTGCTGGTGATGTGACACACGTGTGAGAGTTGCTGCTGATGTGACACACAGGTGAGAGTTGCTGCTGGTGTGACACACGTGTGAGAGTTACTGCTGATGTGACACATGTGTGAGAGTTGCTGCTGATGTGACACACGTGTGAGAGTTGCTGCTGTTCTGCTTGCAGCCGAAGAATGCAGAGGAGCTCCTGTACATGCTCCAGTTCGGCAACAAGAACAGATCCCAGCACCCGACTGATGCCAACGCTGAGTCGTCACGGTCTCACGCTGTCTTCCAGGTAACTGCACTTCACTATCTTTGGGCATACCACATTCACCCTTGGGAACTTGACAATGCATGTCTACATGTAAAATATACCACAAGAGAATACTGTCAATTAAACTTTCGGGATTTGTAAGTTAGCATGGGGTTCTTATGAAGATTACTTGCTGATAGGTAAAGGAGTTGTTCAGTGGACCCTTGCTAGAATGGGACGTTTAATAAGCGGAATATGGAAGGTGTGCTTGTCATGAAGAGACAGGGTGTCCTGGGCATGGTCCTTGAGAGAAGTGGCTGATAGTTCCCAGCCTTGGAAAACTTCTGCTGGGACATGAGGGCAGTCTCGTCTAGAGCATAGCTAGAGACAAAAGAGTGAGTCTTGGATGTCTCTCCATGGAGGGAAGAAGAAGACCAAGATGAAGATGCAAGAGCAGACATGGGTTAAAGGGGAAGTGTACACGCAAAAATCACTTTCTTTCTTTTTCTAAACAAAACGCAATTTTAGAATTAGTTAGTATCTGTGTTTGAAAATATACGCTCATTTTTTTTCACAGTGAAAGTAGGAAGCTCACAATAGTGTTAAAATGATATGTCGTTGTGAGGCCTTCGTTTTACGAGCGAAATAGGCCTGAGTTATCCCCCTTAGATTATGACGTAATTGGTGCCAATTCAACTGGGTCCCTGTCTATTCTCAACGCAAAAGATATCAAGGACCAGTTTGCGGTAAAACAACATGGTCTACGACACACTCCGGCGCAGTGGTGACTCAGCATAACACAATTCTGGCTGGCATCTGAGACGCTAGAATCACAAAACTGTACCTACACCACGTGAAGCGGCTCTAACAAAGCATGATGACGTCATAATGTTTATCAATTGGCACCAATGACGTCATATTGCAAGGGGCATAAGCCATGGTGTTTTTGTTATGGAAATAGAACACTTGGTAAATGTGAAAAATATCAATCGTTTTAATGCAAAAAATATGTTAATTAAATATGATGTTTTTATATTTTTGTCTATGACACTTCTATGTTAACACTTTTAATGTGGAAAAAGTACAAGAAAAATTGGTTCATTTCCGTGTGAACTTGCCCTTTAAGGGAGCACCTCTATAAAAGCCAACCATGGGATTTAGTCTGTCATACAGACCCTGAAACAAATATATCGAATAAAGCCCATGCAAGTGTATAATGTTTGGCAAGTCTAGATTACTGCAGTATCTGAAAATGAAGACTCTTTGGGCTCCTTTTTATTATATTATATAACTATAATTTTACAACTGTTTTTTCTGTGAAGTGTGTTCATTTCAGAGACTAGATGTTAGTCTATCTGGGATTCTGACGGGGATATTTCCTGTTATTTGTAGCCACCATCAAGTGCGATATATTAATAAACCAGCAAGAATGTGTAGTAAGACATGAAGTCACAAACCATTAGAATTATATAAATTGAAAATGAACAAGAAACAAGCAAAAGGATGCTGGTATATTGCTGGAGCATTTTATATTCACAACAAGCAGTAATGTGAAGATACACGACGTCATCACTTCCGTGGTCACTTGCATGGGCACTGTGAGATAGTATTATCCACACAACTAGTTGGAACATCTTCTTCAGCTGGACCTCACACAGCTTTGTCTTTCTGTCAAAAATTGCAGAAGATGCATTTAGGAGTATGTAGGATAAGTATAAAAGTGTAAAAATATATTTAGATTTTACTAGGTTTAACTTTTGCATTTTTTCCATTTGACATGTTTGAAAAACAACTCTCTATGTTAAATTTGTTTAATTTATTTTTTTCTAAATTTTCTTTGTGCAGGTATTTGTGCGACAGAAAGACCGCACCGCTAACATATCTGCTGAGGTGAAGGTGGCCAAGATGTGTTTAGTTGACCTGGCAGGGTCCGAAAGGGCCACAGTCACCAAGAACCGAGGGGCTAGATTCAGAGAGGGAGCCAACATCAACAGGTCTCTCCTGGCACTTGGCAATGTCATCAATGCTCTCGCGGAGAACAAGGTTAGCCCTAGATGTGGCATAAACTTCAACATTTTAGGATTGATTTTTTCACTGTCCATCTTAACCATGGTAATGTAAATCAATGTAAATGCTTCTGTGACAGTTTAATATCAATATTCATACATTTTTATCTGTACAGTATCAACATATATATCTTATTGATGCATTGATATTGCGATATACGATGACATCCTTGGGTAGTCAGTCCATTCACCGAATAGCAGGATTAAAGGAACTTTCACTTGCTGTGTGATGGACTGGCAGCTGAGTGTTAGTATCAGGTTTTTGTTTGTACCGGATTCGACCCGTGAAGATTCGGTGTAGAATAGGTCTTCAGCAATCCATGCTTGCCGTAAAAGGTGACTACGCTTGTCGTAAGAGACGACTAACGGGATCGGGTGGTCAGGCTCGTTGACTTGGTTGATGCATGTCATCGATCCCAATTGCGTGGATCGATGCTCATGATGCCAATCACTGGATTGTCTGGCCAAGACTCGATTATTTACAGATCGCCGTCATATAGCTGGCATATTGCTGAGTGCAGCGTTAAACAACAAACAAGCAAACAAAAGTACTGGATTCCTTCTCCTGAAATAGGTTATTTGTCATCATACTGGACCACATTCACAGATGCTCTCATCATCAACCACTGGTTTTCGTGCTTCAGCCTTGACTTGCATACCAACTCAGTTATGTCAGAAATTGAGTGTACCCACCTTTATGAGACAAGGGAGTAAAAGGTCCAGTTTCCACCATTGCCGAACTAGGCTGGAATTGAGGGTGTTGATTATAGCACCACCAGCTATGTCCCCTCCATGACTCTCCTATTGACCAGTCAGAGTCCTCCACTCGGGAAGATGAGTGTACAAGATTCACCAACTACTTTCAAGCGAGCCTGATTAACATGCTCATTTTCATGTTCAGAAAATATGAACCGGGTTCCTCCACTCATTCATTCTCTGTTACTGACAAATGAACCTCACTGTTTATAACTTATGTGTTTCAGAACAAGGGCCACATTCCGTACCGAGACAGCAAGTTGACCCGGCTCCTGAAGGACTCGCTGGGAGGCAACTGTCGAACTGTCATGATTGCCGCAGTCAGGTAGGGAGGACAGCCCCACTGTCTTACAGCAGTCAGGTAGGGAGCACATCCCTACCCACCCCACTGTCTTACAGCAGTCAGGTAGGGAGAACACCCCCACCCACCCCACTGTCTTACAGCAGTCAGGTAGAGGGAACACCCCCACCCACCCCACTGTCTTACAGCAGTCAGGTAGGGAGAACACCCCACCCACCCCACTGTCTTACAGCAGTCAGGTAGGGAGAACATCCCTACCCACCCCACTGTCTTACAGCAGTCAGGTAGGGAGAACACCCCCACCCACCCCACTGTCTTACAGCAGTCAGGTAGGGAGGACACCCCTACCCACCCCACTGTCTTACAGCAGTCAGGTAGGGAGAACACCCCACCCACCCCACTGTCTTACAGCAGTCAGGTAGGGAGAACACCCCCACCCACCCCACTGTCTTGCAGCAGTCAGGTAGAGGGAACACCCCCACCCACCCCACTGTCTTACAGCAGTCAGGTAGGGAGAACACCCCCACCCACCCCACTGTCTTACAGCAGTCAGGTAGGGAGAACACCTCAACCCACCCCACTGTCTTACAGCAGTCAGGTAGGGAGAACACCCCTACCCACCCCACTGTCTTACAGCAGTCAGGTAGGGAGAACACCCCCACCCACCCCACTGTCTTACAGCAGTCAGGTAGGGAGAACACCTCAACCCACCCCACTGTCTTACAGCAGTCAGGTAGGGAGAACACCCCTACCCACCCCACTGTCTTACAGCAGTCAGGTAGGGAGAACACCCCCACCCACCCCACTGTCTTACAGCAGTCAGGTAGGGAGAACACCCCCACTGTCTTACAGCAGTCAGGTAGGGAGAACACCCCCACCCACCCCACTGTCTTACAGCAGTCAGGTAGGGAGAACACCTCAACCCACCCCACTGTCTTACAGCAGTCAGGTAGGGAGAACACCCCTATCCACCCCACTGTCTTACAGCAGTCAGGTAGGGAGAACACCCCCACCCACCCCACTGTCTTACAGCAGTCAGGTAGGGAGAACACCTCAACCCACCCCACTGTCTTACAGCAGTCAGGTAGGGAGAACACCCCTACCCACCCCACTGTCTTACAGCAGTCAGGTAGGGAGAACACCCCCACCCACCCCACTGTCTTACAGCAGTCAGGTAGGGAGAACACCCCCACTGTCTTACAGCAGTCAGGTAGGGAGAACACCCCCACCCACCCCACTATCTTACAGCAGTCAGGTAGGGAGAACACCCCCACCCACCCCACTGTCTTACAGCAGTCAGGTAGGGAGAACACCCCTACCCACCCCACTGTCTTGCAGCAGTCAGGTAGGGAGAACACCCCCACCCACCCCACTGTCTTGCAGCAGTCAGGTAGGGAAAACACCCCACCCCACCCCACTGTCTTACAGCAGTCAGGTAGGGAGAACACCCCCACCCACCCCACTGTCTTTCAGCAGTCAGGTAGGGAGAACACCTCAACCCACCCCACTGTCTTACAGCAGTCAGGTAGGGAGAACACCCCTACCCACCCCACTGTCTTACAGCAGTCAGGTAGGGAGAACACCCCCACCCACCCCACTGTCTTACAGCAGTCAGGTAGGGAGAACACCCTACCCACCCCACTGTCTTACAGCAGTCAGGTAGGGAGGACACCCCCACCCACCCCACTGTCTTGCAGCAGTCAGGTAGGGAGAACACCCTACCCACCCCACTGTCTTGCAGCAGTCAGGTAGAGGGAACACCCCAACCCACCCCACTGTCTTGCAGCAGTCAGGTAGGGAGAACACCCTACCCACCCCACTGTCTTGCAGCAGTCAGGTAGGGAGAACACCCCTACCCACCCCACTGTCTTGCAGCAGTCAGGTAGGGAGAACACCCCACCCCACTGTCTTGCAGCAGTCAGGTAGGGAGAACACCCCTACCCACCCCACTGTCTTACAGCAGTCAGGTAGGGAGGACACCACCCCCACCCCACTGTCTTGCAGCAGTCAGGTAGGGAGAACACCCCTACCCACCCCACTGTCTTACAGCAGTCAGGTAGGGAGAACATCCCACCCCACCCCACTGTCTTGCAGCAGTCAGGTAGGGAGAACACCCCTACCCACCCCACTGTCTTACAGCAGTCAGGTAGGGAGAACATCCCACCCCACCCCACTGTCTTGCAGCAGTCAGGTAGGGAGAACACCCCTACCCACCCCACTGTCTTACAGCAGTCAGGTAGGGAGAACACCTCAACCCACCCCACTGTCTTACAGCAGTCAGGTAGGGAGAACAACCCTACCCACCCCACTGTCTTGCAGCAGTCAGGTAGGGAGAACACCCCACCCCACTGTCTTGCAGCAGTCAGGTAGGGAGAACACCCCTACCCACCCCACTGTCTTACAGCAGTCAGGTAGGGAGAACACCTCAACCCACCCCACTGTCTTACAGCAGTCAGGTAGGGAGAACAACCCTACCCACCCCACTGTCTTGCAGCAGTCAGGTAGGGAGAACACCCCTACCCACCCCACTGTCTTACAGCAGTCAGGTAGGGAGAACACCCCACCCCACTGTCTTGCAGCAGTCAGGTAGGGAGAACACCCCTACCCACCCCACTGTCTTGCAGCAGTCAGGTAGGGAGAACACCCCACCCCACTGTCTTACAGCAGTCAGGTAGGGAGAACATCCCACCCCACCCCACTGTCTTGCAGCAGTCAGGTAGGGAGAACACCCCACCCCACTGTCTTGCAGCAGTCAGGTAGGGAGAACACCCCTACCCACCCCACTGTCTTACAGCAGTCAGGTAGGGAGAACATCCCACCCCACCCCACTGTCTTGCAGCAGTCAGGTAGGGAGAACACCCCACCCCACTGTCTTGCAGCAGTCAGGTAGGGAGAACACCCCTACCCACCCCACTGTCTTACAGCAGTCAGGTAGGGAGGACACCACCCCCACCCCACTGTCTTGCAGCAGTCAGGTAGGGAGGACACCCCTACCCACCCCACTGTCTTACAGCAGTCAGGTAGGGAGAACATCCCACCCCACCCCACTGTCTTGCAGCAGTCAGGTAGGGAGAACACCCCTACCCACCCCACTGTCTTACAGCAGTCAGGTAGGGAGAACATCCCACCCCACCACACTGTCTTGCAGCAGTCAGGTAGGGAGAACACCCCTACCCACCCCACTGTCTTACAGCAGTCAGGTAGGGAGAACATCCCACCCCACCCCACTGTCTTGCAGCAGTCAGGTAGGGAGAACACCCCTACCCACCCCACTGTCTTACAGCAGTCAGGTAGGGAGGACACCCCAACCCACCCCACTGTCTTACAGCAGTCAGGTAGGGAGGACACCCCCACCCACCCCACTGTCTTGCAGCAGTCAGGTAGGGAGGACACCATCGTCCAACCCCAGTCAAAATATTAGTTATATACAAGTTACAGGAGTAATTGTATTGTTGCCAAATGAAAAGTTGTATCTGAATATGAGTATCAGGCAAGTGGCCTGAACGTGACAGAATCTAGTTGTTTTATTGACATCCTGTTTCTGTTGTCTTAGTCCTTCCAGCATGTCGTATGAAGACACCTACAACACCCTCAAGTATGCCGACAGGGCCAAGCACATCCGGGCCATGGTGAGTAGACCACAGGAACAACATACTTCCTGTAGATTTTCTTTAATTTGGGGAAATATAAATTGTTGTTGAAACATTGGGTCATCAAGTCCACCCATCCACCCACTCTCACTCACTAGATCACTTATATGTCTGTCTGTTTCCCAGCTGAAGAAGAACATCCTGAATGTGGACTTCCACGTGTCCCGGTACGGCCAGATTGTGGAGGACTTGCGGAAAGAGGTGAGATCAGCTAATACCTGCTTTCATTTAGAGTCGCCTCCCTTAGCTGTAACAGGATCCACTGATTATGGCCTGTCCCCATTGTGATCCTTGTTATGTCAGAACCACAACCATATTTCACCAAAGTGAACATCTATGACCTGACCTCCCAAATGAAAGTGTCCTGCAGTGATGTTGCTGATGTTGCACTGATGTGTTCATAGAAGCAGAGATTCATTGATTCAGCTTTATTGGATGTGCGCAAAAATTCTGTATCATACCTTTACATATGATTATATATATATATATATGAGACTGCTGTTGGAAGCGAAAGAATACATGCTGGTCAAGTAACAAAAATGGCGCTTTGCGAAAAGAACTGTCTCAATTGACGAGTTAAAGAGAAATTTACAGTTTATAACGAGACATTTCAAGAGAATAACAAATGACATGAAGCGATATTTACTCCATAAATGACCACCCGTCATTATTTTGCCTTGTCAATGTGACACTAACGTAAAAAAGTTGTCAACAGTTTGTAAACGGACCAGACTCTTACGGTAAAGGGGGACAATTTGAGGGGAGGTCACTCTATCATGACAATAGTTCTGTTAAAAGGGTTATGTTCACTGCAATGAACAACTTTCTCAACTTCAGAAAACTCACAATGAAGTATACAATAAATATAGAATACTAAACGAGCTCCCGTGTAATACCAATTTTATGAAACGAGTGAATAGTTCTGGTATCTGACGAGCAAATGCGAGTGAGATACCACAACTATTCACGAGTTTCATAAAATTGGTTTTACACGAGAGCGAGTTTAGTATTTTATTTATTACTTGTCATTTATAATGTTTTTATAATTATACTGTTGAGTGTAAATAGGCTGACACCTACACGATCCATGGCATAATCCAATTGAGTTTAACAGAATAATACTTCAAACACGTAAAAAGTTGAAACGTATGAATTTAATATCATACAATGGTCCACCTTTAGAATTCAGGCGTTCGTCCCACAAAATTATCGTAGTGCTAAGGCTGTCACAACTCACATAATTTAACTTCTAAGGGTAACGACTGTCGTTGCGCTAGAGTACGATCGTCTTGTGGAACGGGACCTTGCACCTCAAAGTTTACAATCATGTCACAATACCCGATGACGTAATTTGTTGAATTTTGTTGCAAGATCCATCGGCGAAACAATGCCATGTGACGTCACCCTAGCAACAAGGTTGCTGGGGTCATCGAGTGTGCATAAGCTCCTCCCAGTGATCTATCATCTCCACACACAATGCCGTTGAATAAGCCAAGGGATGTTGAGAGCTTTCAATATTTGTTCGTGAAACGTGTTCCGAGAATACATAAGCACGCGTTTTGGTATTACACAATGTTTAATAAAGCTGTATGTTTATTAAACGGGTCATCTCTTCACGGGCAAGTAATAAACATGTTTACTTTTACCCTGTGAGGCAGGTGTGGTGTGACACAGCACGTGTTATGGTTCTGGTTGTCCGATATAGCAAGTGTTATAGTTGTATAGTAATCATGTTATCTGTCTTCTACTCACAGATCGGAGAGTTGAAGTCACGACTTCAGCTGTATGATGAGGGGAAGATGGGGTCGTCACGGCGACAGTCAGCTGTCAATGAGGAGCAAAGGTGAACATTTAGTTGATGCCATGTTTATTTTTTCATTGGTAAAGTTTTTGTATTTGCAAATATCAACCACACAGAAATAACATATGACTCTCTTTATTCAACTTTGATTACCACACTGGCTATCAACAGTCATCCTAACAGATAGCATAGGATTCTAACAAGAGGTTTAAAGATGTAAAGTGGCAGCAATCAGTCACAGAAATTCCCTTTCCATACACAGCGGCAGTATCACCTACATTAAACATATCTTGCAAAATAAACAATTAATTAAGTAACCATTGAATTGTACCCTGTGGTTTTGTTACACACAGCTTACACCCAAGCTGGTGGTCTGTACAGCTGCTGGGTGTACAGCTGTTGGTCTGTACAGCTAGTGGTCTATACAACTGATGGTCTATACAGCTGATGGTCTATACAGCTGATGGTCTGTACAGTAGGCAGTCTGTACAGCTAGTGGTCTATACAACTGATGGTCTAAACAGCTGATGGTCTATACAGCTGATGGTCTGTACAATAGGCGGTCTGTACAGCTGATGGGTGTACAGCTAGTGGTCTATTTAACTGATGGTCTGTACAGCTGATGGTCTGTACAGCTGGTAGTCTGTAAGCTGGTGGTCTGTACAGCTGATTGTCTGTACAGCTGATGGTCTGTACAGCTGGTGGGTGTACAGGTGATGGTCACTTAGCTGATGGTCAGTACAGCTGGTGGTCTATACAACTGATAGTCTGTACAGCTGGTGGTCTATACAACTGATAGTCTGTACAGCTGGTGGTCAGTACAGCTGGTGGGTGTACAGATGGTGGTCTATACAACTGATGGTCAGTACAGCTGGTGGTCTATACAACTGATAGTCTGTACAGCTGGTGGTCTATACAACTGATAGTCTGTACAGCTGGTGGTCTATACAACTGATAGTCTGTACAGCTGGTGGTCTATACAACTGATACTGATAGTCTGTACAGCTGGTGGTCAGTACAGCTGGTGGGTGTACGGATGGTGGTCTATACAGCTGGTGGGTGTACGGATGGTGGTCTATACAACTGATGGTCAGTACAGCTGGTGGTCTGTACAGCTGATGAGTGTACAGCTGGTGGTCTGTACATCTGGTGGTCTGTACATCTGGTGGTCTACAGCTGGTGGTCTGTACAGCTGGTGGCTTTACAGCTGATGGTCTGTACAGCTGGTGGGTGTACAGCTGATGGATGTTCAGCTGATCTTTTCAGCTGGACAGTTAATGGTTTGCTTCATGGTCACCTTCACCTGTAAAGAGTACTCTGTGTTTCATTAAACAAGGGCCAATTGAAGAAATACTTTGCACATTTATCCCTGATAGAAAAATACACATTACTGTTTCAAAATATCCTGATAAATTCACTCATACGAAGGTTGTAGACCAAAGTGAACATAAAATATTTTTTGGAACTTACCTAAAGAGGTTCGTCTGTAGCATTGAGGACATTTAGTAAATTCTTTGTTGATGGTATAAATGAAGTACACTACCGACAGAGCTAGAATGTGTGAGATGTTGAGCAGTATCTTGTCCCTCACACAGACTGAGCGCGATCCTGGAGAACATCTTCGAGGCTCGTTTGGACGTGCGTCGAGAGCAGCTGCAGGTGGAGTGTGTGTATCGGGACCTGCTGTGGAAGATTGGCCGCAAACAGAGATGTCTTCATCGACTCCGTGTCATCTCGAGCGCTGCTCAGGGACAGGTGGGTGGTTGTACAATGACGGGATGTGGTTGTACAATGACTAGATGTGGTTGTACAATGACTGGATGTGGTTGTACAATGACTGGATGTGGTTGTACAATGACTGGATGTGGTTGTACTATGAATGGATGTGGTTGTACAATGACTAGATGTGGTTGTACAATGACTGGATGTGGTTGTACAATGACTGGATGTGGTTGTACAATGATGGGATGTGGTTGTACAATGACTAGATGTGGTTGTACAATGACTGGATGTGGTTGTACAATGACTGGATGTGGTTGTACAATGACTGGATGTGGTTGTACAATGACTGGATGTGGTTGTACTATGAATGGATGTGGTTGTACTATGAATGGATGTGGTTGTACAATGACTAGATGTGGTTGTACAATGACTGGATGTGGTCGTACTATGACTGGATGTGGTTGTACAATGACTGGATGTGGTTGTACTATAACTGGATGTGGTTGTACAATGACTGGATGTGGTTGTACAATGACTGGATGTGGTTGTACAATGACTGGATGTGGTTGTACAATGACTGGATGTGGTTGTACAATGACTGGATGTGGTTGTACAATGACTGGATGTGGTTGTACAATGACTGGATGTGGTTGTACAATGACTGGATGTGGTTGTACAATGACTTGATGTGGTTGTACAATGACTGTATGTGGTTGTACAATGACGGGATGTGGTTGTACAATGACTGGATGTGGTTGTACAATGACTGTATGTGGTTGTACAATGACTGGATGTGGTCGTACAATGACTGGATATGGTTGTACAATGACTGTATGTGGTTGTACAATGACGGGATGTGGTTGTACAATGACGGGATGTGGTTGTACAATGACGGGATGTGGTTGTACAATGACGGGATGTGGTTGTACAATGACTGGATGTGGTTGTACTATGACTGGATGTGGTTGTACAATGACTGGATGTGGTTGTACAATGACTGGATGTGGTTGTACAATGACTGGATGTGGTTGTACAATGACTGTATGTGGTTGTACAATGACTGTATGTGGTTGTACAATGACTGTATGTGGTTGTACAATGACTGGATGTGGTTGTACAATGACTGTATGTGGTTGTACAATGACTGGATGTGGTTGTACTATAACTGGATGTGGTTGTACAATGACTGGATGTGGTTGTACTATGACTGGATGTGGTTGTCACTAGGTACAAAGATGCCTACAGTAGACTTTATTAACCTCCATGTCAGAATGATGAGATCTGATTGCTTCACATGACCTTGACACTATACTGTGTATCCTGCCTTGGAGGGAAATACATTTCTCAGAGGGTTCATAAATCCTTTATACCTGCGACGAGCAAGTGAGGCTGCACATGGATTTCTGAGAGGGAGAATAAATCCCTTACACCCCGCTTGCACCAAGAAGCTGCACGCTATTTCTGAGTAAATGAAAGTCATGTGACAGAGCACAAGTTAACCTCAGCTCAATCAAACAGCTGTTTTCTATCAATTTTGAAATTTGTTTTAATTAGTTTACATAGTCATATCACAACATGTCGCTAAGATAAATTTGTTGCAGCACATTAAAGATGGGCCCATGGGACGCATGAAGAAACCCATGTACCTCTTGTGATCCTACCACAACTAATAATGTATGCTTGTCATAAGGATTGACTGAAAATACTAGTGTGGTCTGTTTCGGTCACTTGATTGATAGCACGTCATTGTGCCTGATGGTAGTGATTCTGGTGACCACGTTAAACAACATTCAATCACTCACTCAGTCACTTCACTCAGGTGGCACGCAACATGTCTTAAAGTGCCTGCTGTAGAAGCTTGGCTATACACCTGAAGGTGTTGCTGATGGTCAGACGTACACCTGAAGGTGTTGCCGATGGTCAGATGTACACCTGAAGGTGTTGCCGATGGTCAAATGTACACCTGAAAGTGTTGCCAATGGTCAGATGTACACCTGAAGGTGTTGCCGATGGTCAGATGTACACCTGAAGGTGTTGCCGATGGTCAGATGTACACCTGAAGGTGTTGCCGATGCTCAGATGTACACCTGACATGTGTATCTGATGGTTGTAGACCGCCTCCGTGGTCTAGTGGTAGAGCGTCCGCCCGGAGAGTGGAAGGTCCGGGGTTCGATCCCGGCCGCGTCATACCAAAAGACGTTAAAAGATGGTACTTGTTGTTACCCTGTCTGGCGCTCGACATTAAGGGGCTAAAACAAGGACTGGTTGGCTCGAAGTCAGTATACTGTGTCTGAGTGGGGTATTCATGTTAAACTGCGGCATGGTATCTCAGTGAGCTAGCACTATTAATCGGCATCAGTACGGACTAGTACAAGCAGCCACACAAACACACACACGTACATGCACGTCACTATATAAGTGCAATAATCTTGGACGCGACGTTAAACCCCATTTCACCTCACCTCTGATGGTTGTAGGTGTGTGAGCGAGAGGAGCGCAGCCTCAAGTCCCTCCAGGGCAAGATGGAGGGTTGCTGCTTGTATGTACACCTGACATGTGTATCTGATGGTTGTAGGTGTGTGAGCGTGTGGAGCGCAGCCTCAAGTCCCTCCAGGGCAAGATGGAGGGTTGCTGCTTGTATGTACACCTGACATGTGTGTCTGATTGTTGTAGGTGTGTGAGCGAGTGGAGCGCAGCCTCAAGTCCCTCCAGGGCAAGATGGAGGCAGTGACCAGGAAGCGAGATGCAGCTGAAGTGAAGCTGGCCGCCAACCAGGACTGGCTGAACCGGGTCCACTCCGAGTTGTGCCTGGCAGGAGGAGACAACGCGGTGCCAGAGGTAAGTTCCCATGCTGCACCCTCATCTACCTGCCCTCCGTCCTGACCATCACTGTAGAGTGTAGGTTCCCATGCTGCACCCTCATCTACCTGCCCTCCGTCCTGACCATCACTGTAGACTGTAGGTTCCCATGCTGCACCCTCATCTACCTGCCCTCCGTCCTGACAATCACTGTAGACTGTAGGTTCCCATGCTGCACCCCTCATTTACCTGCCCTCCGTCCTGAGCATCACTGTAGACTGTAGGTTCCCATGCTGCACCCTCATCTACCTGCCCTCCGTCCTGACCATCACTGTAGACTGTAGGTTCCCATGCTGCACCCTCATCTACCTGCCCTCCGTCCTGACCATCACTGTAGACTGTAGGTTCCCATGCTGCACCCTCATTTACCTGCCCTCCGTCCTGACCATCACTGTAGACTGTAAGTTCCCT